ATATTCTTAATAAAATTTTAAGCAATTATAAAAAAATATAAAAAAAAATATTCTAGCGGGTATATTTAGCTGCTGGACGGTTTAAGGGATAATTATTTTTCTATTAATACAACAATGATAAAAAATCATAACAATACATATACAAATAAAAAAAGCCAAAATTATATCGAAAAGTGGCATATCTTTAGAGGCTGGAAACACGGATGTAAGGTTTGTGACGAATGTGATCATCATTCGCACCTATATTGCAAAACGTGTAAAAAAGTAGCAGTTGGTATATATAGGCAATGTGAATGTGAAAATTCTCGAATAATTAAATAAATCGGAATTAACAATTTGGTAATAAGGTTTGAAAATATACATATCGACATAGTAATATTGGCATAATCTTTGCTACAAATAATTTGATTTACTCTTTTGATCAGGTGGATTGTTTTTGCTGAATTATATAACAGAAATTTGTTTTGTGTGATTGTAGCATCCACTCTTACCAAAATGTCTCGAATTCGTTATTTTGTGTATATGATATCCGCCTTTTTCTATACTCCAATTATCATCTTTGTAATCTTTATTGCTGGAGTTGCGGTGTGTTGGATAATGTTATTATAATGAAAATAATCTGCAAAGTTTTCTTCTTGCTCTAACGTTACCTTAGCTACTTCCAATCGCAGGCGTTCTTATCATGATCACTTTTATTAGCTACACCGGTTATCTAGAAGTTAAGGGAATCATACTACTTTGGATTATATCCAAACAACGGTAGGATCAACTGATCGATCATATGACTGTCACATATAAACATTCTAAGGTTCCTTTTTTCCCACAAATTTGCAGTCATGGAAATCAATCCCCCGACTTCTGACGAAATTCATGAATATGGCACGGAAAAACTTATTGAGTATTTGCAGACTGTAAAAAAATTAGAACTTAATGAGAAACACTTTGAAATTATTAGAAAGGTGGAAATCAATGGTGAAAATTTCTTAAAAATAACCGAAAAAAAGCTTTGCGATTTTGGTTTTAGTTTTGGACCTGCAGAACGAATTGTCAGCTTTGCTAAGGAGTGCAGTGAACGGAAGAGGCAGAAATATTCATCCATTAGATCTTTGAAAGATGTCTTAAAAGATTATGGCGTTGACTCTGATGACATTTCAAGGATTCCGTCATTTGAACCACAAACTCACGAAATTCAAGATAATGATGAGTATTTTCAAAACTGTATCAATAATATTTTAATCAGAATTAAAAGCTACGGGACTTTATCCCCAAATTCTAATGAAAAAATTCGAAGAGAGTTTGTATCAACAATCCTTCACACAGCTCTCCGAATTGCCGAAACTAGTACAAATAACATTTTTAATATGGCTGTTGAATATGAAGTCAGTGGTAAAAAATATTATGGACCGACTGATTATGCCATAATAGAATCGAAATCCGGAAATCTCATATGCATTACAGAAGACAAGATAGATAAATCAATGCAAGAAGGTTTTGCTCAGAATATCAGACAACTCGAAAGCTCACATGATGTTAATAAAAAAAAGCGAAAACGGGATGGAAATGAGGATTTTGATTATCTTTACGGTATCATAACTTCCGGTACGCAATTTTACTCTATCTCTTATAATAATAAGAAAAGATGAAATTTATTAAAATCATGTTTTCATTTATTGTAGCACGAGAATGGTATTTTTTACTTCATAACCCAGGAGAGATCTCGTTAAGCAATGTAATACCTTTTGTTATTGAATATTGCAAAGAAGCTTGGAATAAGGAATCGAATGAATATGAAATTTTATGCAAAAATACGAAAAAGGTTTTGAGCATAATTGTTGGTTTGTTAGTGGATAAAGCAGTTGATATTGAACCCGAAGCCAAAAGAGTAAAAGTAACCCGATTTCGATCAAATGACAATTAGTATAAATAGGATTTCTCATGTCGGAATTGTTTTATTTAAAAATCACGGGCGATTTTTTGTAATGCATTGCAATAATATATATTTCTGAATAATTCGTGTTTTATGAAAAAACATTAATATCATCTATGTAGCGTCTCATTATCTAACCGTGACATCAATGTCAAGTTTGGCACTTTTTTTATATGCAGTATATATTGTAAAATGTAACAAATGTCAACAAAGTTTTATCATAGTGGTATGAAACTCGTTACCTGGTACGTCTTTACTGCTTGACATAAAAGGAATTAAAAGAAGGCTATTCAATATTCATTGAATATATATAACTTTTAGAGGTAAAGTTTCATGGTGTAATAATAGCACATCATATTAATACCCTCGACTTATTTGCCTCAGAGAAGCACACCTTTGGCGCCAATAAAAATCGCGTTAAAATAAAAAATGGGCGCCCACCGGACCCCTCTCTTTATTATTTAATAAAAATTGTTGCCGGACCAACAATATACAAATAAAAAAAATATTTTATAATAAAAAAATATGATATATGGGCACGATTATAGATAGTCATCGGCATGACCAGGATTTATAACATCCCAGTCATCATTTTTTTTATATCTTTCTACAGCTTCCCTCGAAATAGGATAGAAGAGGTCGTTGTCTGGTTTTAATATAATGAAAGATTTAATCGGAAAATTATATCTCAGAGAAATACCCAGAGCCTATTACATAAAAAATACAAAATTAATTACGTAATATGAAATTTACTTACAAGTTCTATTACTGTATTGAGGCCTTCGATTAGACGACCTTGATTAGAGGGTACTGGGTTAGACGGTGTTGGGTTGGACGCTACTGGGCTAGACGGTGTTGAGTGAGGTGGTGCTGGGTTGGATGGTGCTGGGTTAGACGGTGCTGGATTGTTAGAATTATTAGTACTGCTCATTTTTGTGTTCCTAAAAATAAAAAATCATAATGAATAAGGTTTCGCCCCAGTAGTCATCCTAGAAAACAATTGTAGGTTGAAACCCTCCGTATAAAACGAATACATACGTTTGAAATAAATTACAAGTGAATTAAGTAAAAAAAATTATATACGGACAAAAAATATTATTATAACCCACCCTATAAGAAACAAAAAATCGCTTATTTTATACTTCACGTTCGTTAGATCTAGTGAACCTGCCAGGAGAAAAATCACAAGCTTAGTAATTATGTTACCCTAACACAGTACCACACCACACTTAACAAAGCAACTCCGCTCGGTCATAAGTTCCAAACACTGAGCCTATTTTGTTATTTTTTCTGGTAAAATTAACCCCCTTAGATTCGACGATCTCTCCTGCGAAGTGAAAAAGTTAACGATCTCGACGATCTGGGAATTCCAAGTTCCTAAGACATATGAATTTTGACAGGCAAAGCCTGGGGTCTATGACCCATAAAACTACTGATTAAGAACATTATACGTATTACCCTTATAGCCTTTTTAAGTCTCATTCTTATCGCGGGATCACATATAAGGTAAGAAAGGTTCTAGTCGCTATTCATTATTAGCGCTACTTATTAACTTAATAAAAAATCGACCGTGAGAAATTAAGGTAACACCGCATAAAGTTTAATGCAGGCCATTGATTATTAAAGCCGGTCAAGTTTTTGTCGCTATTTTAGCTTCAACCTAGGCCAAAATAAAAGCGGACCCGCAGGACCATTAAGTCATATGATAGTATGAGTGAATATTTTATTCTTTAATGTGCGCAATGTTGTACGTAGGCTCGAAGAGCCATTGCTACGCAATACAGAATGTGGTCGAGTTAAAATAGCGCACATATAAAATCACGATGCAGTATATACGTGGTGTGTTTATTGAACATCTAGCAGAATATCGAAAATTATGACTGTACAAATATTTATGGCTTGTCTGGTGAACCGCCTCTTAATAAACATATTATTGTCTGCATCAAAATTTATCGTATATATCCTTGCAAATATTGCAAGCCACATACCAACTTGAAACATTCCTTGAGCACTACGTACACAATGGTTAAATAAGTATATATAAATCTTTTTTTCTATTTTCTGAAATTTTTCATTTCT